ACTTGAAAAATACTCGCGCACCTACAGCGCACAGCCGCATTAAAAAGCTTGCGTATGTGGTTTAATTAGTCGTTGATTTATCGTATATACACGTTTTCATATCAATCACATAGAGCCTCAGGGGATAGGAAACACGAGAGAAAGAAGGGGAGAGGAAATGAGAGAGGGGGAGAGAAAGAAGATTTCTCCCCTGCCTTTGCAATTACCTGCCCTCGCGTGCGTGCGTGCTGCTTAGCTCGCGTGCGTGCTGTTACGCTCGCGTGCGTGCTGAATTGTAAACGTTGCTATCGCATATACAATGCTATTACTGCTATTTTACTCGCCTCCACTCGTATATAATCATCATAATCTCCGCTCACTCTCTCTCTACCTGCGCGCGCGTGTAGGCATTGATGGCATGAGGTAGCGCAAGGCTGTTATTACTGATAATCAATTCTTTGATTTATTGCCGACGAGCGGCAAAGATTCGTCGCTACCTGACGACACCGCCCGCTGTTCGTGGCCAACCCTTGCCTTCTAGCTGTGCGGCGAGCGAGCAGGCCGTCAAACGCCCGCCCGCTATCTGTATTCCATTCACTACATAAACCAACAATCGGCGCGCGTTTATGATAAGCTATAGCCGACAAACACGCATGCACGTACACGCGCGGACGCACACGCGCGCACGCACACGCGCACGCGTACACCCACACACACACGCGCACGCACACGCGCACGCGTACACCCACACACACACGCGCACGCACACACACTTGTACACACGCGCGCACGCACATACAAACACTTACAAACACGCGCGCACGCACGCACGCACACGCACACACACGCGCGCACGCATAAACACACAAGCGCGCAAGTATGCACCAGCCCGCACGCACGCACGCACGCACGCACGCACGCACGCACGCACGCACGCACGCACGCACGCACCTCCATGATATCAAGGTACCGCCGTATCGTTAGATATTAGAGATACGGTAGCCGATGAGGGTACTGCTAACAATAAGATTAGAGTTAACAGATAGGGTTGGGTTCGAGGAAGCTCCAGGCGGAGAGTTAACGTTAGGGTCAGGGTTAAGGTTCGGATTAGCGGGGTATAGAGGGATAGTGTACAGGTAAGGGTTCGGGTTACGAGTGGGGTTATGGTCAGCCCTCGTTCACAGGCACGTCGCACACAAGAAGAATTCAGCATTTGTAACTAAAGGCTTATAATGAAGCTGTTCGACGACTAACTGACTCGCATACAAGTGAGAAAAAAAATGCAGCGCATTTATTTGTCGTAGCTTGTAATTGCCACAGGGGTTTATAGCCTATAATACATCTCCCATTACACGTACGATGACGTCTCCTTGGCGAGAAAGACATTGCTCGTAATTGTCAAGTATGTGTCGATTGTCACATGACTAAGATGACTCAACTTTCTCGTGCGTGACACCACTGCAACGCCGACAGCCCCCGCGCGACACACTCTGTAGACGTCTGTCATAGAAGCTCGTGGATAAGTTATATCGCCTCCAGCCGAGCCCAGCAAGGAAAGACCCGATAATGAAATATGGGTTTATATTGACTACTCTCACTCATCCATAAAAGTCCGAGCAGCTGTGTACCAATTTAAACGCGAGCGCTTATATGGCAGGCCTCCCTGGCAGCCGCATACTATATACAGGCAAGCATCTTTCAGCGTTAGCGAAGCAGTGTCTTAAAACGCCGGGGTGATATGGCCATGAATACGATGCGCCGACAATAACGACTTATCGCCACCGACCTTGACACTCCTTGTTCTCCTTCATCTCCCTCCCCTTCTCCTCCGTCTCCCTCTCCCTCCCATCCACTCCACTCCGCCAGGCTTACTCCTCCCCTCCTTTCCTCCACCACTTACTCCTCCCCTCCCCTCCTCCTCCCCTCCTCCTTTCCTCCACCACTTACTCCTCCCTGAGTCGGAGA